GAATCTACAAAGTAAAGTTTGACTAACTAAAATTTGGATTTTTGCACCAACTGCTAAAAGGCCAGTTGTCACAATAATGTCAGAGATTCTTCAGTATTCAGATTTTAATTTGTTGCATTGGCAGAGGTTTTCTTTTCCACTGTAGGAGCTGAATTAATTTGTCAAAAGTACAAAAGCCCCGAGTGACACTCTGACACAACTTGTTGTTATGAACTGAAGACACACAATAGACAAAATGGAAAAAACAACAGGCTAAAATAAAGAAGATTTAATGGGATTGTTCCTTCAGTGAGCACGCCTACAATCAGTTATTATAGTTTTGAGTGCATTTTATTTATACGTTTAGTGTCACTGTTAGTTTTAGTCTTTTTAATTATTTTTAATTTTTAACTATTATCAGAAAGTATTCCAATAAAAGCACAGAACGTTTTGTAGTGGGATTAAGATTATGTGTCTTTCTGCTCCTTTTTGATCATGTTATCATGATTGTTTTGTTTTTCTTATGTTTGTTATATGATTTTAACATGTTTAAATAAAGCCTTTTTAGTACAAAAGTAAAAATGAATTGCAGAGGCCTACTGCAGCTCAGGCTCAGCTCTGACTGTGAGCTGTTTCCACAGCTTGTGATGCGTTGTTGCTCTTTCTTCCAGTTCTTCGCCATCTTCGCCTTCTCCACCTGTGGCAGTTATTCCGGGATGTTCAAGATTGCTGTGGAGTGCAAGAGCTGGGTGCAGAGCGACCTGAGTATAGAGGTGGAGTTTGAGTATCCCTTCAGGTCAGAACAAAAACTCTGTGAACTCTGAAACTAACTTTGACCTATTTAAAATTCTTTCAAATAGTATTTGGAGGATGCAGCACATCCTAGTTCATTTAAATGATATCAGTCAGCCCTCCTGGGTGTTTTTGTGTCTCTTTAGTGATTCTTCAAAGCTTTGAGGTGTTTTGGGCTCATTCTGAACATCAAAGCTCTGAAGTTATTATCTGCGTGTTAGTTATTGTTTATCACTTTGGTGAAAGTTCACCTTCACTAACAGGGAAACTTTAAACTCCTCTGTCAGACTCCACCAGGAGTATTTTGATGCGCCCACCTGTAAGTCTGAGTATAAAGAACGGGTTTTCCTGACTGGCGACTACTCCTCCTCGGCTGAATTCTTTGTCACCATCGGCGTCTTCGCCTTCCTGTACTCTATGGCGGCTCTCACCATTTACGTCTTCTTCTTTGAAAAGTACAAGGAGAACAACAAGGGCCCACTGATCGTAAGTAGAGCCACCCGACTTCCCAGCTGACCTCTGAAAAACCTGCCTCACTCCGTCTTTGTGCCGTTTCAGGACCTGGGAGTCACCGGAGTGTTTGCCTTCATGTGGCTGGTGAGTTCGGCAGCCTGGGCCAAAGGTCTGTCCAACGTGAAGACTGCGACCAACCCGGATGAAGTCATCACTATGATCCACGCCTGTGAAGAGGATGAGAACAGATGCCGTGAAGTCCACGACCCGGTTATGTCTGGATTGAACACCTCTGTGGTAAGACTTTCACTGGGCCTGGGCACATCAGGACGGGGAAACTCAGAACTTACTGGTGCCAACA